TTTTAGTGTAGAGCTTAGTTTCTTTGCAAAGAATGCTTGACTGGGCGTACTGTGAAAACTAGTTATGTACAAAGTTAACGTTTATGTGTATATATTTTTTTAATATTTTTGTAAAGAGATTTTTTGAACAGTAGTGCTCGTGAACTACAACAACAAAAATTTATTTTATATTATTTTAATTAATTGAATTTTTGGCTGACCACACAGCTGTTTCGAGTCCAGCCAAATACCCATCATCAGTGGTCTTGGAAATAATTCTTTTATTTAATTATTTGTAAATAATTTTTTTTTTAAGACTGGAAGTACCAGGAATCGAACTCGTGCCCTGCCAAATTTGAAGCTCAGAGTAAACGCATCTTAACCTATTGACTCAAAGGCGTACTTGACTTTTATGTTGTAATGTATTTGGTTTGTTGCTGCTGTTAGCTGGTGATTTGGCTATTGTTTATTTAATCATATACATTTTAAAAAAAGCATGAGTGAAATCATTTTGTTCATGATATGAACTCCACTTGTAGTTGAAAGAGACTTTATGCTAATGCGTACTTTGAAGATATACCCATAATATGTAGAGGCCGTACGTGCGTAGCGTATTTCTTGCTCAGGAGTGACCTGGCTTAATTTGTTTTTTCTGATTTATTTTTAATTGTGGCTACCTTATTTAAATGGCTTATGTTTTCTTCCGCCAACGGTAAATGAATGCATCATGCGTAAGAAATTTATGTGCTTCAATTTTTTTTATTGCTTATTTATATGTTGCCCATGTATTTCATGGATTTCTTGTTTGTTTGGTCTGCATTTCGTGCCGCTGCAGCACAACAACAGCGAATTAATTTGCCCTGCCATTATTCTCTGACTCTTATTTTGTTTTCTATTTTTCTTTTTGTATTTGTTTTTGTGTTTGTGTTTGTTTTTGTTTTTGTTTTTTGTGCTTTTGGTTTATTAATTGTTCTCGTGTAGTTGCAAGTTGTTAACAGAGAAGTGCCATGACAATTTCTTAAATTTGCAGATTAATTTTTTCAGTGTGCAGTCGAGTCGGCCTGGCCTAGCCTGCCCTGGCCTCTGTGCATATTTCAACTTAATTCGAAACTTAATATGAACTTGTAAATTAATTTTGTCGAAATGCGTTTGTGCATGGTTGGTTTATGTGAGCTGTTGAACAAATTGTGTCATAAATTGTGGAGCAATTTAGGTTGTGGCATTTTGGCTTCAGCAGCAATTACTACTCTGAAAACTCCATGGAAATTTATTCTCCTCTTTCCTGCAGAAGAGCTATTAAATACTGTCGCATTAAATTGTATGAAAGCGTAATAAAATTTAAGGATATTTTAATATTTCTACTATAACGTATTATGTTATATACATATTTTGCTGACGTCAAAGGCTAATTTTCTAAATTATATAAATTATAAAATTTTACCTTACCATGAACACACATATTACATACATATATAATATATGGTATATATTTTTAAAATTTCAGTACTAGTAAAATGGTTTTTTGGTTTTAATAACTTTACAAAATTAATTTTCTACTTACTTACATACATCAATAATTAAAATTAATTATACAAAACGAATTTGTAATCAATAAATTATTTCAAATACAGGTTCATATGTATATAAATGTGACATTATGATTGTCAAGTACTTAAGTAAGGTACTTGATAAGTCTTAAAAGGTTTTACAATATTTGTAAAGATTCCAGCAACTTAAGAAATTAAATATATCGGTAGTCCCCAGCAATACGAGTACAGTCAATCGTAACATAAATGCTCTTTTTTTTTTTGTAGTAGGTGGAAAGCATCGAAAGTCACAATGTGAGACTTAAAATCACCTCTTAGTAATCAGGAGAGAGAGATGTGAGGATATAAGCTTAATACCTAGCGAGACTCTAAGTCTTAAAAAAAAAAATTGAAACGAGCGGTGGATTAAACAATTGAGAAGATCTTACTTGAGCAAAGCTTTAGGTATCTCTCAAATTTTGGAATCAGTTCCAATGCTCCAATGTTCCAAGGTTAGGTTACATTATTACTGTGAATTAAAGAACTCATTTTGGCATATTAGCCTACTGCGTTTCACACTTTTAATGTCGCCTATAAAGCTTATTAAAGGGAATTACTGCAGCTCAATAAAATCTGGAGAAAAGTAATTTCCTAATTTACATAAGCGACATTACTCATACTCTGGATGGTGACAAAATGAAAGTAAAACATTTTACAGTCGCGGCAAGAATTAGTCAAGGGAATATTCAATTTCTTAAAATGGCTTTCCAACCAGTCAGCTATATAAGCCCTATAACATTATTTGGTGCCTCAGTGATATTGCTTTAAAACAATTTTTGCTTTCTAAATTAATGCTATATATAATTAATAAAAATTTCATTTATGGAAAGCTGAAAAACCTTTAGTTACTGAACTATAAGTATCTCCCTGTAAATCAAAGTGAACTTATTTAAAGCTAACAGTGAAGCCAAAGCTAACTTATTTTCGTGTTTTCACATTCACATTCAAATTCCATTATAGATTAATATAATTTAATAAATGCATAAATTAACAACAATTCGTTTAAAATTAACACTTTCAGTATTAGTACTATCACACTAGCCCTTCTATAATATATACTTAGAAATAAATTGAGTGCAGTTATAAAAGCGAACTATTCTACATTTAATTTTCCTTATTTAATGAAATGCAACTGCAATTTATTTAATGATTTTTACATTTAGTTCGCTTCACTGTTTAACTTAATCTCACTAACTAACGACACTAACGACTAAAATTATCTACGACTCGTACTCGTAATGCGTATCTTCAGTATTAGCACTCGTGTAAAATTTCATTGACGATAATATAAGTAAATGTATTAATGGAAATATAAAAGATTTTTTCAATATTTGATTTAATGCCGCTAATTTGCGTGATTACAAAACTCGCAGTCATAAATAATTTCGACGTGCAATTTGAGGCCCTCGTTAAAGTTACTAGAACTAGTGAAAGCATCGGGTAGTGACAATGCGCTTCAAATAGGCACGACTCAAGCTTTATACATATATTATACATATATTATAGCTTTATACTGTAGTAGTATAAGTATTGTAGATGTATGATAGTATATAAGTATTGTAGTCATAAGATAGAATTAAGCATACACATGTAAACTAAGGTAGAATTAAGAGAAAGAATAATAAAAGAGACAGTTGCGTGACGACCGTCGAACAAAGTAGATGTTGGTTGTTTCTACTAAAATTCAGAAGTGGGATCAAGTAAAAAAAAAAAAAAATTTTTTTTTAAAGCCCGTGTGTAATAAAATATATATATATAAAATTTTTATATAAAACTGTGAAGAATGGATGGCATAGCTGACGTTTTATGTTTTGATGATCTAACGGTGGAGGAGCTAAAAAATTGGCTGACAAAATTGAAGTTGCAAGTAAGTGGAAACAAAACGCAG